CCTCTGTTCCTCAGCTCCAGACTGCAGCAGCAGACTGCCCGGAAGTCCCACAGGTTTTCCCCTCTGGGAATCCAGCAGCACAGCCCCATAACCAGAGGGGAAGATTGGGAGCAGCCTTTCTGCCCATTCCTTGCCCAGGCTGAGCAAGTCCCCTCTGTCTCTAGCCCTCTCTCACTCTCTTTCCAAAACATACACGAGTGTACACCCTAAAACACCAGCTCTGGAAATTTAACAATAAAGAGTAATGCCCTGCCTCTATATTTTGGCACCACAGTAACAAGACAGCAGAAAATATCACAGTCCCTGAGGTATTTATACTGCCAGCATGGCTGCAAATTCTATCTGTGCCTTAAAAAAAAAGGGAGCTGAGGCATTAAAGGCTATAGTTAAACCACCTACTGAGTCATCTCTAAGAGACTTATATTTCTGTGATTTGGAAGACTGAAAGAGTGTTTAAACCTCCTGTTCCCAGGCTGCCAGGCTTTGGGTCTCTGCAAGGAGTCATTAAAAAAAGTAAGGGTTGTATTCTGTTCCCTTCTCTGAGTAAATTAGCACAAGGCAGCACATCTCACTCACCATATAAAAATTTTTCTCCTGCCTGAAGAGCAGGAGCTGAGAACTTCTCATTGATCCCTATTTAGCTCAGACCCCGCAGCTCATCTTCCAGCAGCCACAGCTGTGCATGATTCACTGCAGGATAGCACTGGCAGGAGAGCACTGGCAGGAGCAGATTCAAAATCCCATCTGCCTCTAACTCAGTCCATCACTGCCACTGACATTTCATTAGCTCAGCACTTCAGAAACAGGGTTTGCACAACTGAATTACATCCATCACTCTGCTGCAGGCAGCCACCTCCAGCCCAAAGCAGGGCAACTTGATTAGACCTGCACCCATTCAATTACTCAGTCTAGACCTTGACTTGAAAGATACTCACCATGGGCTTCACAGCTTGTTTATAAACGCAGCATTGCCCCCTAAATACACTTACCAGCTGTCTTTCCAAGCTGACAAAGTGGCTGCAGATCAGTCCAAGGAGGGTAAGAACACAATGTACTAATGTTGGGTAGAACAACACTGCAGTGTCTTAGGACCAATCTATTTCAGAAGCTCCAAAGACACAATCATTTTCAACCCCTTCCAATAAGATTATCCATCCTTTCCATATACAGAGACTCATACCTGACAGGCCATGTGCCTCTACACAGATTTTAGGTGTATTGCCTAAAAAATATACCACCCAGTACAAGTGGAAAGGTAGGATTTAACCTCACTCAGGTGTAAGCACTAGAACCTTTTCTAAGTCAAGTTCAAAGTTTAAGGGAAGGCTGAACACTTTGAGAGAGTAAAATCCACACTGTTAAATTTACAGTTGTCCATGGGAAAAAAAAAATCACCAAATCTACCTCATTTCACAAAAGAGCTCACTAAGGATATTTCCTTCTTCTCTTCTTCCCTGAGGTGCTCACATGCTAAATGAAACACTGTAAAATGTACAAGGAAAAAAGCTCAGACAGTAATAACAACAGAGGAGACATCTGCCTCCATTTTCCTTTCTTGAGAATTTTAAAATTCCCATAACTTCAGTACTCCAGCGCCCAGCAGCACAAACCAACATAGCATCACCAACTTGGGTGAAGCTTGGGTTCATTTGCAAACCAATACAGGTGCCAGCAGAGGTGTTTCTGCATGGCACTGGTTTGAAAGAAGAGAAGTAGCACCATCATCGTGCTGAATTCCATCAGCATATTAGGGCCTGGAGGAAGGGATGAGGTGGGACAGGTAATTTATGCTGTGGCCCAAGCACAAGGCTCCCAGCAGTGAGATTTATCCTCTGTTCTCAAAGCCAGTGCCAGCTACAAAGCTTAGGGACAGACAGAGGCAAGAGATGCCAGATTTTACCCTCAGATGTTGATGGCAGCAGGGGTTGTGTATGAGGACAGAAGTCAGCCCCAAGTCTTTCTGTTCACAGCATTCAAGGTGTCTGTTGAACCAGTCACGATTCACCTGCTGCTCAGCTACAATAAGGCAAATTATGATTTTTTTTCTTGCTTATAAAAGCTCAAATAGAGCTGAACTTCTTTGAAATAGGCAGGCATATGACAATGTGAGAGCAGAGTCCAGGCCACTTTTACAAAAGCAAATAAAAAAATCCCTCTAAAAATAGAGAAATGTGGTATGAGAAGCTAGATCCAGAAATGCTAACAGAAAAGAGAAGACAGAATGAAATCCAACAGCTTTGACCAACCCTTTCTTGACTGAGCTTTTTCTGAAGCTCTTCATCTGCTGCACTTTTTCCACATATTTGCAAAAAGCAAATTTTGCTCTCCAATACACTGGAGTCAGCCCAAAGGTACTTTACTTGTTTCAGAGTGGTTACTCCAGACTTAAATTTAGTACAGAATTTAGTCCCGTCTAACACATCACCACCTCCCCAGCTGTCACCCAGCACAGCACATTTGTTTAATCTTTAGGCACTGTTGCCTCAACATTCCTTCAATAATAATTCGCCTTTCCTGAAGACTCTTTATAGCAGTGCAAGCATTTCTCACCCTCCGGTGCTGCCAGAAATGAGTGTAAATGTGTGAGATAGGGAAGATAAATGAGACAACACAGCCTCTTGAGGAGTCACCATCTCCTCCAACCAGTCACTGGGAAGGCCTAATAAGCAAATGCAGGACAAAAATATGTTTCAGGGAAACATGGTCGTGGTTGGCACTGTCATTGCATGGATTCAATGACTGCATTGACAGTTTTGACTTTGCAACCCTCTCAAGGAGAAAAGCATGTTCCTCCAAAGAGTAGTGACCAAACCAGTTAGGCTGTTACTGCTCTTTGATTTTAAAAAAATGGGGCTTCAAACTCAGCTGTCTGAGAGGGAGGAGGCGTGAAAAGCCCCGGTGCAGCGGTCCCGGTGTCCGGGAGCTCTCCGTGCGGTCCGTGCGGAGATGAGCGGAGCATCCTCCGGCGCGCAGAGCCGCGGCCGCGGGAGGGCAGCAGCGAATTGCGGTCCAAAACGGAGCGAGGGAGCTTCCCCCTTCATTCAGGGGCTTGGTAAAGATGAACCGTGCGGAACTGCTGCGGGATTTTGTCTGGGTGAATGGGTGAAAAGTTACAGTGGCATGCCACTAAGGAAGCATAAGCGCAGTCTTGGCAGATTTTTGCTGCATCTCTCTTCTGGTTTATAAACCCTTCGGGTCGACTATCTGACGGTGGAGCCATCTTAGCCAGGGGGTTGGGACAAGGAACAGATCCTTTTGAACATTGTTTTCCCAAAAGCAAACTGACTATAGACAGTAAATGACAATAACCACCTGTGGTCACTGTTTTCTCTGTCTCTTTGGAATACTACATTTCTCTTTCGTACAGTTTTATTCATGTGAGAATTTTCTCTGCCGTGATTGTTGGGAAGACAGAGGAGAGGTGAAAGTCCCTGTGATGAGCATCCTTCTCTGTTCTTCCCCCAGGCAAGCTGAGAGCTGCCAGGGCCCTGCTCAGGAGCCACTCCTAAGAGCCACAGATATCTGTGAGCTCTCCCAGCTCGAAGAGTAAAACCTGAACCTATCCCAGGAAGGATTTAATGACCTGGGTGCTCAGCTGATGTTCAGAGAGAAATTTATATCCTGCTACAGGTGTCACCATGCCGAATACCCCTGCTCTGTGAGGTCACTCTGGGATCACCACCTGCCAAAGCCTCACTGCCCCCGAGCTTGACTCAGGGGGAAAGCAGATGTCCCCACAGCCACCCCCACCTTTCTGCACCATCCCATTCTCCCTTTGGCACTGGGATTAGGTGTGCAGCTACTGCTTCACCCAGGGAAGACAAAAGGTCCGAGTTCAGCAGTGCCGCTGCTGACACTTCAAAGAGTGACTCCATTTAGGCTGCTCCCAGACAGGATTCAGCTAATGGCTGGAGTGCTTCATAAATAACCTCAGTTCTCTGTGCAGTGGGGAGAAAGAAATTACCATATCTCTTCAAGTAAGAAGATCTGGTGTCCCCAGTGAGTTTCGGGTGATGGCTATTTTTATAACAGACATGTATAATGGCCTCGCAGCCATTTTTAAAAGCAAATTCAGAGGTAAGGGGGGAAACCAGCCAATATGTGGCAAAGCCTGGTGTAGCAAGATTTCTGAGAGAGAGAGGACATGATTTATATTTAGAGTGAATGTTGAGCTACCCCCAGTCTAGGCCTCAGATATGGGCCTCGGTGAGGCCTTTGAAGCCTGTGACACAGTAAGAAATGAGTCTGTGGTGCAGTTCGAAATTATGTTAATGTGTAATCACAGAGCAATGAGCCTTCTGGGTGTGAATTAGTATAGGTCTGCAGTGTGAAACTTTAGCCACCTTAAGACAAAGACAATGTTTGCTGGCCAATGATAGTGTGCTCACAATTTGTAAACTATATTGAAGTATATATAAACTGCCATCTTATAAACAATAAATGGAGAACGTAGCATTAACCATATTGGCTTGATCTGCATTTGTCCTGTCCAGAATTCTCTATTATTTGTAAGATCCCTTGATTCTGCCTGATGTCCATTCTCAGGGCTTGTCTGTCATAAGTTGTATTTTTGTATAAAATATGTAATTCTGCAGGAAAAATGTTTGTGAGACTGATTAAGATTCGGGGGAGCAGGGGAGGGGGATTGTTATTATTCCAACTTGTTTAATAAAGTGTACGTGACAGAGAACATAAGGAAATTGTGCCAGTGCCATTCCCCAAAAATAAAAAAGGTGCCGAATTTTAAATTGGGGGCAAAGCAGGGGAACGGACCAGGCTGTCTGAGTTTCACTACCCACATGGGAATAAAAAAAAAAAAAAAAATTAAAAAAAAAAAAAAGAAGGCACAAATTCCCAGAGGAAACTAGTTAAATATTCTCTCCACCTCCCTCCTCTTATTCATTCGCTACTTTTATTTCAATCGCGGGGTCCCATGGCGACCATCGTGGGAGAAAAGCATCCTCTCCAGCCGCCGCGCTCGCCATGGCAACCAGCACGTCAGCGCCGGCAGCCGGGCCCCGCCGTGGGTCGGGGGCGGCCCAGCGCTAAGGCCCTCCCGGTGTCCCCCCGGTGTCCCCCCGGTGTCCCCCGGTGTCCCCCGGTGTCCCCCCGGTGTCCCCCCGGTGTCCCCCGGGGCGGCCCCACCGCTCCGGCGCTGTCCGTGGTGCTGGTGGCCCCGCCGGGGCGGGAGGCGCGCCCGGGACCTGCCGGGGGGCGGCCGCATGATCCGCATCCCACATGACACAGAAAGGAGCTGGGCAGCGGCCACCCTGCGAAACGTCATCTTTTCCTCCGGTGCAGAAGAGGGGTGGAACACCCCGTCCTTCCCCTCTGGTGGATTTGCGAACAGCCGGGCAGAGGCAGCTGCAGCCCTGGAGGTACCCATGGTTCCCAGTATGACCGGGACCTTCCCAGACATGGCTTCACCTGGGATAACCATCAGAGCAAAGAGGAGACCAGTGCCTCTGGGATTATGCTTTGGAGCAGGTATGTGGATGCATGGGGCTGTGCTGAAGCTGTAGCTAAAGGGGTAATTCTCCCTGCGGAGGCAAACAGCATGATCTTTCCCAGTAATTTGTCTTAGTGTATTTACTTAAGTGCATTTAAATCACCTGGGGATTAGCCAGGAGGACTCATTTCTCAGGAGAAAATGTTCTGTGGGGTTTGAATTTTAAGCTTATTCTGCTGAAAGCAGGGGGTGTGTGTATAATTACTGCAGAATAACTACCTATATTTTCTGGACAAATCTACATTCTCTCTATCTATATTCATTAGCTTTCAATTATGTTACTTATTTGTTTGAAACAATCTCCTGACATGTGTTCAGTGAAAACAGAAAATTACTTTACAGCAATGGAGCAGACTGATCTGTTAATCTGGTTTTATCTGTCTCTAAACACGTTCAAGCAGCTTCTTCCTTCCTCACATTATTGCTATGGAACAGCTGCTTTTGTATTTTTCAGTCATTAATTTGGAAACACCCTTTCTGAAAGCGCTGTCTCCCTTTTTCCATATGGGTGCTTTGGTGCAGCTACTCAGGGGAACCCCACAGGCAGAGCAATCTTCGTTTTTCTATAGCCAGCACAGGCAAGAGGGCTGTTCTGGTTTAGCTAATTCAGGCACAGACTCTCTAAGAATGCATAGCACTATTTCTCATTTATCCAGCTGGCTTACAGCATGTCAAACAGTATGTTGGCCCCACAGAGTAACGGAGAAGTAAAGCTGCCTTCTGCTTTCAAAAGGCCATTTGTGTGTATGAGGCAGGATTCATAGCCAGTTCTTTCTGGCAAAGGTTCTTAGACGTGGTTCTTGAAGGTTTGTTGTTAAAGTCACTCATAACCACTTAAACAAGTGGCTTGGTTTGCAGAAAAACTGGTTGCCAACCTAGAGGCATCCTTGAAAGCTTATTTTAGCATCTAAATATGGAATTTTTTTTGAAACTTGATTATGAGTAAGCTTGATTTCTGATTTATTTTAAGCATTCTGGTCTCAGATGAGTCAGTAAGGGGAGGAATCTCTACACCTTAGACACATTTGGGGAGCTGTGCTCCTTGTCTCAAAGTAAGAGCTTGCAGAATTGCCCTTCCCGCAGCTCTCCCGTATGGATTCTGTTTGCAGAGCTGTGCAGTGCAATTCCCACAGCTGGGTCACACCATATGACCTCCGACTGCATTTTCCTTTGCAGCCCCACTGGACTCCCTCTCTCAGGTGTTTAACAGAGGGCAATTTCAGTCAGTGCAGAACAAACCCCAACATCCTCAGCTGGAGTCAGCTCATCCTCCCTACCAGTTCTCCCAACACCAAAACATGATGCAGCCCTTGTGTGTTTGGGATTTCTGCATTCCAGCAGCTTCCATCTTTCCCTAGACTTCCCCTTTGGCAGGTAGCAAACACAGTTCTTGCAACGGGCACCCCATCCATGAAGGCATCTCCAGATCAAGGGCTATCAGCAGGCTGATACTTTGCCTCAGAGGCTTCTCCTGGGCTGCTTTTATCCTCCCTGAGCCTTGCCCAGCAGAGAGACTCCCTTCCCACAATCATCTCCACATCAGGCATTTCCAACCCAGCTTCAGGCTGTGCATGACCTTCAGCCCTCCCAGCTTCTCCAGCCCAGCTGGTGTAGGAAGACTGAAATGCTCTCATTAATGGCTGTATTGTCAGGCAGAGGCCCACCTGAGTGTTGTTCTACTTCTTGTACAAGTCTGCTCCTCTTATTCCTATCACATAAGTCCTCCTGGAAGCACCTCAGGCATCTCTGATTATAAACCACCATTGCCACCCCATTCTCTGTCACTGTGTCTGACACAGGGACCTGTGCCCTATGAGCACCAGTTCCATGTTACCAAGAAGGGTCAAGAGCCCTGTGACAGGAATTCTCACATCCCAGCACAAATGTTCACACCAGTGCAAAAGTCCTGTTGCCACATGAACATCTTGTGTGACGAGAAAGGCATTTTCACAAGACTTCCTGTCAAGAATTCCTTTCTACGTAACCTTTCCACACCAACCCAACAGTAAAAAAAAAAAAAAAAAAAAAAAAAAAAAATCCTTAGGTTCTCCTAGGGGGAAGACTTTTGCTCCCTTTTGCTCCCTGCTGGTGAGAGGGTGAGCTGAGCTGCCCAAGACTTCCCTGCAGCTGCTGCATTTTCCCTGCAGGGGAGAGGGTGAGAATTTCCAAGAGATGGGCAGAGAAACCAGCCAGGCATGAGATTCACCACTGCTTATCTGTCAACACCCACCATGGCAAAGCAGCCCTGGTAAGTGCCGTGTTCCTCGCCTCAAGCAGAAGAATGTGCTGTGCTGTGGGTAGGGCCTGGTGTTGCTAAAAATTAATGCAAGCATGTGGGTGAGAGCATCTATATTTTTACCTCTGAATCACAGAAGGGTACAGGCTAGTCATGCCCAAGGACACACTGCTGCTTCTTTTCTTCTTCCACATCCACACTGCATTATTGAAGGAGACATGCAAAGCAGCACAAGGGGCAAGATCCCAAATTCATCCTGTGGCTCTGTGCTTTCAGGCTTCACTCTGAGTAGGAAGACAAGGAGAAAATAATAAGTGGTAGGTGCAGAGCCAGAGTAGGCACAGCAAAAAGCATCAGTGAAGCATTGGGAAAAGACCATCTGAAGGAAAACCTGGGAATCTAGATCACTTGGAAAGCTGAGGAGGATGGTGGTGGCTTTTTGAGCTTGTTCATTTGGCTTCCCAGATGACCTTTTTCATCTTCTGGTCATTAACTGAATCCCGAATTATCTTGCACAGTATCAAGCTCTGGAGTTCAGCATTCTCACAGTAGACCCATAAAAAAGGCTTTGTATGTCTAGTGAGTAAACAGCTCTGCATGTCAAGATGATGACTGAAAGGACATCAGACAGAAGCAGGGTGTTTGAACATGTGTTGTCACTGAAATGAGCTATTTTCCCATTTTATCCCTGTGACAGGCTAAGACCAACTCAACCATCTGGCTAAACTCAACATTGGAAACTATCTAGCAGTATAGACATAGAACACGAGCCAAACCCATCACAATTTGTGGTGTGTCTGCCAGAAGGGTGCAGGAGAACAATTTCACAGACCCTCAGACAAACTGTAATTCACAGGTAGTGACATTTGGTAGATGATAGGTTTGGTGTCACCAGTTGGGGACATTATTACTCCATGGACAAGAATGACAGCCCAAAGGCCTCTCACTGAAAGACTCCCAGAAATTCAGCTCACTTCATCCATAAGGGTCTATGGATCACTCAAGATCAAAACAGTCATTCTTCCAGAGGTGTGGGGCTGATGGTGAGTATGCTCAATCCCAAGAAGTTTCCTTGGGCAGCACCCCTGCCCCAAGGAAAGGGCTTCCCACCATAGACATCCTGCTCTAAGGAAAACCGCACAAAAAAGGGGGCTATAACCTGGTCAGGGCCTGTGGACATACATGGTAATGGTCCAGAAATTTCTCTGTGCTGAGGCCTCTTATTACCTGGGGACCGTCTGTGTTGGCCAAGGGGTCCTGCCCTTCTTGTCCCCCCACGAAGGCAGAGTTGGGGTCATGGTGCACATGGCGCAGATATGGAGTGGGGCTGTGAGGAAAAAAGTGAAAGGATGTGAAAGGGCATGAAAAGCTGGCAGCCACCTCAAACCAGCCAGGGAATGGGGTGGGACCCCTGACACAGCTTGTTGTACCACCAGCTACAGTGGAACCCAAAAGCTGTATTTCAGTGTTAGCCCAGAAATGCAAAAGTTACAGTATATATTTCTATTACAGAGAATGTTCTTTTGTAGGTTAAAATGGACTTTTCATACACAGCTGTTCAAGAGAACCTTTTCTCTCCTTTCTGTCTGCAGCCTGAGCAAAAGATGTAGCCGAGTTTTCTCACAGCATGGATAACAGCAGTGATCCTGTTCTCTTTACCTTGCTCCTGCTGCAGAATATGAGCAGCCCCAAAGCCTCCGCCCCTCCTGCTGGCTATGACATGGCAGAACCTCCAGCCCCGGGAGCCGGCCCCAGCAGGAACCACTCTCTGGTAGAATATCGGCTGAGGCCTGGGGAAATCGCAGCTGCCAGCGTGGTTTGGGGAGTGCTGTGGCTGATCTCTGTCTTGGGAAACTTCCTCGTTTGCTTAGTGATTCACAGGAGCAGGAGGACGCAGTCCACCACCAACTACTTTGTGGTGTCCATGGCCTGTGCTGACCTCGTGAGCAGTGTGGGGAGTGCGCCCTTCCTGCTGCTGCAGCTGAGCTCCGGGCGGTGGGTGCTGGGCAGCGGGGTGTGCCGGCTGGTCAGGTACATCCAGTACCTCACACCTGGGGTCCAGATCTACATGCTCCTTGCCATCAGTGTGGATCGATTCTACACCATTGTCTACCCCCTGAGCTTCAAAGTGTCCAGGGGGAAAGCCAAAAAAATGATTTTGGCCTCCTGGCTCTGTGGCGCTCTGTTTGCATCACCGGCCTACTTCCTCTATGGCTCTAGCAGCAACCACCACTGCAACTTTTTTCTCCCCAGTTCTTGGCAAGGATCTGCCTACAGTATCATCCATCTCCTCTTGGTATTTATGATCCCATCTCTCTTCATTATCATTTTTTACCAGAAAGTCATTAAGTACATTTGGAGAATAGGCACAGATGGAATGACTGTCAGGAGAACAACAAATATTGTTCCAAGAACAAAAGTGAAAACCATCAAGATGTTCTTAATGTTAAACTTGATATTTCTCTCATCCTGGCTGCCTTTCTTCGTGGTACAGTTGTGGCACCCACAGGAAACAGACTACAGAAAGAGCTCCTTGCTTTTCCTGGCCATCACCTGGATCTCTTTCAGTTCCTCATCCTCTAAGCCAACACTCTATTCCATCTATAATGCGAACTTCAGAAGAGGGATGAAAGAAACTTTTTGCATGTCTGCCATGAAATGCTACAGAAGCAATGCATACACCATCACCACCAGTTCCAGGATAGCCAAAAAAAATCACGTTGGTATTGCAGATATTCCAGCTACAGCCAAAAGTGCCACCAAAGACTTCACCTATGATGCTTTTAACAGAGAAGCCAAGGAAAGAAAGCTTGCCTGGCCTATTCCGTCCAATCCCCCAAATACTTTTGTCTAGTGGGCTGCATTGTTTTTAAAAGTTACTCTGTACCCCGAGAAGAAGGAATTTTCTCTCCTTTGCATCCAATGTATAGCTACATATTTTTAACCTAGTTTTTTGTGGGGTGGGGGGAGAGGGGGCAGAAAAGAGATGTTTTATTTTATTAAATGCCTTGGGTTTGATGCATTTGTTCCATTTCATTTCAGTTACTACATGCTGCTTTGGGAAACTCCTCTCCTATAATCACAAGCAGTGCTTATCTGCAAAACAAGGGTCCTCACGTTCTCTATCTGTAGGGAGAAAAGGGAAAGAAAGAAAGAAAAGAAAGAAAAGAAAGAAAAGAAAGAAAAGAAAGAAAAGAAAGAAAAGAAAGAAAGAAAGAAAGAAAGAAAGAAAGAAAGAAAGAAAGAAAGAAAGAAGAAAGAAAGAAAGAAGAAAGAAAGAAAGAAGAAGAAAGAAAGAAAGAAAGAAAGAAAGAAAGAAAGAAAGAAAGAAAGAAAGAAAGAAAGAAAGAAAAAGAAAGAAAGAAAGAAGGACTGCTTGTTTTAATCCTTTTACAGGATGATCCACGGTGCATAAAAGTCTAAATCACTCAAAGTCATCTAAGCTTCCTTCCACTAAGTCCCTGCAAATACAGTTGCACTGGGGTTGTCCATCCTGTTGAGATCCCACAGGTAAGATGTTCATATCGGGGCCCTGTTGGCTTCAGCCTAAGCCTACTGGCCTCATCAGCAATAAAATTCCCACTGGCCCAGGAAGATCAGCATTGGGCCAGCACTGGATGCTTCTGCATCTTTGTCCTAGTGCCTCTTTGGAGGTCTCGTGGTCTAAGCTGCCCAGGAAAAGTCCCCTTCTTGGTCTCACCTCCCCCAGTCTCTGAAGTTGCTTCTAGCCCCAGCCTGGTGCACCCACCCAGAGGCAGGCGCAGCCAGGAAGAAGAGCTGCTGAGCAAAAGGGGCCATGTGTCAGGCACCCAGGGCCTCCTCACCTCTGAAATTGGCTGCATGTCCTGCTCTGCACCCCCTCTGCTGAGGCAGGGCTGCGGCACCTGCAGCACAGAGTGGCCCTTTCCAAACAGGAGCAGGAACACGAGCTCTGTAGTGCCACACTGGCTTGGCCTCTGCACTTCCACTGTTTGGGCATGTTTGAATAGGTCCCTAAAAGGTGCGCCAGTGGACACGACCTGCAAAGGACCTCTGGCTGCAGGTGGAGCCGACTCCTGCCAGCAGAGCAAGAAAACAACTCAATGGGAATGGCTGGGTCTTCAGTCCCGCTGGGATGGGAAATGACAGTGGAGACCAGGGGGAGAGGCAGGAGCTTTTTGCAGGCCCCTGTCCCCCCCAGCATTAACAAGCTTCCGGGAAAGAGGCACTGTGCATGAGGGACAAGGGTCTGTGGGTTTGCACACCTTGGGTCCTGCCTCTTGAAGGATGTGCTCAAGGCAAACTGCGCTTCTTCCCTAGGGGAGGTAGGTCCACTTGAATCACTAGGAGGAGGTAACAACATGGTTAGGTCCCAGAAGCTCTAGTTCAGTGCTAGCTCAGAAACACAGAGGTGCCTTGAGCATCCAGACAGGAAAAACATAATCTAAGGAGCAGATGGATCATTGATTGTGTTATAGTTCAGGGGTGGAGTAGTCAGAAATGAGAGAACATGTGCTGAACTCTTACCACATGTGATGACTGCTTTGTGCTGCTTGGAAACCACAAGGTTCCCCAAGCTCAGCTATGATCCATCTGACAGAGAGCTGGCTGGCAGCTCACAGACCCCTCCTGTCCTTTCAACCCCACTCCAACCCCTTTTCTTGCCTCTAGCTCACCAATTTGCTGATGTTCTCTACCCATGAAGGCTGTGTGTGGTCAGTGCACAGGCAGGGCAATATCTGTAGAGGGGATAGAAAGCAGGAGGAAGGACTGCAAGGGTCTGGCAGGTAAAGAAAAGGACCTAATTAAAAGAAGAGGAGGAAGAAGGGGCTGTAAGCTGAGACAGTCTCATTTGAAATTGACTTTCTGAATGAAAATTTCTATACCCAAAATCATCTATACTTCCTGAAAGAGAGAACATTTTTTCCCTTTTTTCCTTTCCCTCAGTTATCAATCACATTAATAAGGATTGGATTGAGTCTATGTGTGGAATATTGATTTATTTTCTCAAATCCCATAGCATTGCCCAAAAGTACAGTAGCGCACTCTCAGAAAACACGGGTAAACTATTTATCCTTTAAATTAGGGCAGCATTAGCATCCTGTTGGCGAATTCCCCTCACTCTGCTGGATAAATGTGGCCCATAGAAGGTCCAGCCCAGGCTGCCACACACCTTGCCTGCAAAGATTTCCTTTCTTTAATTCTTACAAAATTGACAGGAGAGTTCTGTAGGGTTCGGAGTGGAGGTCTGTCCCTCCCAATGGTTTACTGTAGCCTTGGTTACTTGAGGACAGGGCAGAGAAAGCAGAGAAGATAAAGAACTTCTGACACATCCTCCCAGCCTCCAGCTGTCACTGGTAGGAACAAACACCCTTCACAGGGTAACTGCCAAACAGTGGTGCTGTTCTGTAAATCCAGAGCAGGTCCAGAATGACCTAGTCTTAAAGTCTGAAGGACAGGACAAACAGCCCCAGTCTGCTTGCTCAGAGCCCATCCAGCAGATTTCAGGAGCATTTTACCTGAGAACCAAGGATTTGACCTCTTTTCAGTTAGGGATCTCAAGTACTTTCTTCCTGTTCTTTATCTTCTTCTCAACTAGCTCTGACAAAGCCAGTACATGGTGAATAGTTGTTCCTCATCCACTCTTTCTGGGTCAGTCTTGTGTTTCAATAACCTCTGTCACAAATTCTCATTTATTTCTTTATCCAATTTTTTCATTTCTTGCACAGAACTGGCTCCAGACCAGTTTCTCCTCAGAGCATGGCCAAACATCCTTGTGTCCAGGCTGTCAGAAGCACTTCACACTCAAGGCATCCTAAAATCACTGTGGACACTTTGATCCCAGGTGTTAAAGCAGGCAATGGGAGACAGTGTGCAGGAGTCAGCTATCCCTCCTCATACTTCTGTTTCAAAATCTCCAACTCCCTGCTGTCTGCTGGCAGGAGACATCCCTAGTCACAACCCCTCACAGAAGGATTATATTTTTTTTCTACTTTCAGAGCAAATGTGGCACACTTGGGTTCCTGTTCATGACTGGAGCCTGAAAGTGCTGCAGCGATGAAAGTGATAGAACAAGAGCAGCAAGTACCACAGGGTGTAATAAAGGGTGTTGGAGCCCCAGGCTGACATCCCCTGAGGAGAATCTCTGCTGGCAGTGTGGGTGTGGGGAATCCCTTTTGCTGAGAAATAATCCTACATGTCTGGTAAAAATCTTCCTTCCTCATCCTCTACAACACAAAGTAGAGTTGAAAGAACCCCCACGGACCACAGGAACACTTAAAGTATGTATTTCACAGATTCAAAAATCCCCATTAAATAAGTATCCGATACTTCTCATTAAAGCCACTAGCAAAAAACTGCCATGAATTAGGAGATGAGAGGACCTTGAAAGTGAATCAAGACCAGTATTTTCTGTCTGGTTCATATTCTGACCTGGCTGTTTCTTGCTGAAACACCATCATATGCTTAGTTTGTCTTTGACATTTAATTGCCTCTGATACAGTAAAATCAGATCTAGGCTAAACAGGCAATTTCACAACATTGTTTTCAACTTTGGATTGGAGATTGAAACACAAGAGTTGTTCTTTTGGTTAGTAGTTTTATTAAAGAAATAATAAAGGAACTGAATAGAATGAGCCCTGGGGTCACAGAGGACCAAGGTTTGTGGTTACCCACCTTCTGCTAGGTCAGAGCCCAGAGGCACACAGGACACTTGTTTCTTCAAGTCTACTGTGTTTCCCCACCTTTCAAAAAGTTTTTCACTACAGAAGGTGGCCAGGAAAAGTCCAGGATTGCCATGACACAATAGCTAGGGACACAATGTCCCCTGGCAGAAAGAGGTGGTAGTTCTGCACTGACATCATGGGCTCTAACCAGCCCTGCAACCACGAGTGATGTCTGGAGGCTGGGTCTCCTAAACCCCCTTTCCACATCAGTAAAATCCCAACCCCACTCGTATCAGAGTGAGCTTGGCTCTGCTTGCTGGGGCTTCTTTTAATCCAGACTACGCTGGTAAAAACACAAGAGCAAGGAGAAAGCTTTCTTGCTCCTTCCCTGATTTTGGGACAGATGATGGACAGGTGGACAGGCAGGTTTAGGACAGATGGGTTTGGTAGCACCAATGCCAGGTACCTCCTGGTTTGCCAAGGCCCCAGAGGTGCCAGAGACAGGAGGCAGATCATTAATTATCTAAGCAAGAAATGGAAAATTCTGTAGGATTTGCCTGATCAATATAGACACAAAACAAACAGAATAAACTCCCAGTCCACAAACACATCTCAAGCCCATTTACAAAGGGGAGGTTCTGAGAAAAAGCACTCCTGGGTCTCCTGCCCATCCATTCCTTAGTTTTAAATGTTTCCTGTGTAAGAACATGATACAGTGCCAACCATTAGGCTTTTTTCTTCTCCGTTAAGCAGATAAACGTTAAGTAGAAATTCCATCACTGCTGCTTATACTTGGTATTAAGTGGCTTGCCCTTGGAAATTCCTATTACAAATTGTCAAATTATGTCCCTTCCTTTTTATTTCAGCAGAAAGTTGGATTTTCAGTTAAGTATACTTTAAAATTTTCCAGTTGAGGTGTTGGGGCTAGTGAGAAGCAGAGACTCACTTCACTTGTACCTATTTTTCCACCAGCCTCACGGAAGTGACACCAAAGTGGCTATCACCAATAATTGGATTTAAGGGTTTCCATATGCCCACTTAAGAATCCCCAGAGTTTATTCAGTCTCCTCAACTCAACCCAATTAAATCCTCAATTAAAATTCAGATTTAACTGACATTGATTTAGGAGTTGGTTTCCCAAGGTGCTGAACACACACCATCAATTGCGGCTGAAATTCTGAGTGTTCAGCCCTTCTCAATATCAGATCCTTCCTGTTTAAAAGAACAAAAAGCAGATTTGAAGTATGTTAAAGCCAGACCCATATGCTCAAAAGAAGGGTTATTAACTCCTTAAGTGATTCTGTAAGTTAATATGACTTTATTAATTGTCTCTTTTCAACTTAGCAAGTGTTGTGGAATTGGCCATTATAAATTACAGAAGCTTTATTTGAACTTGCTTCTAGTAAAACATAACACACCTACTGGACTGGAAGATTGTTGTATAAATGTCACCTCCTGATGAGCAGTCTGGACTAACCCACAGATTTTTTTTTCTACACTACTGCTAACACACGCGAAGTCTTTAATTTGTTTCACAAAACTGGTCCCTGGATAATATTCAGAAGTGACAAGATGGCAGTAATTCCTTTGTTTGCAGCATCTCAACCATTTGACACCAGCTCTCAATTTGGTCCTACATTTGCAGGGGAATAGAAAAAGAAAAAATATTATATCACCAAATAATTAAGTTTGTTCTTGTCTCATGCCTGGGCAGACACAAGCTTTTTCTCCACATGCACCAGTAAAAGGAAGAGATGCTTTTGGGGAAGAGGGACTGATCAGGGACTTGAATTTTTTGAGGCCATGTAGAATTAGGCAGCAGAAGCCACATACAGATGGATGCAATTACCCGCCTCTTTCCAAAGGCACTACACCTCTTCTCTTCAGCCCTGGAGATTTACCATCTCCACTTCTACACATACTCCACAGAGTCCCTCCCCATATTGAGTCAAACATAGGAAGGAAAATTATTAAGAAATGCCCAGAGTTAACAAGATTTCAGATTAGTCACCAGCTAGCTGTAAATGCAGCAGGACTAGCCCTGATTGCATTAACTCCATGCTGGGAGCTCATCTGCCCTCTCTGGCTTTTTGCAAACTCTGAAACAGCTCTTGCCACATTACTGACTTGGCCTTTCACACTCACTCAGGGCATCTTCATCAGAATCTTCATTCTTGGGCTTGTAGGTTTGTTTTGGTTTTTTTTTTTTCTGTAAGAGGTATGCTGAGGATGTTACCCTCAGTGCGACTGCATCTTCAAAGATCACTTCCTACACATGTAACATGTTCACTGACAGAAGAAATTCCTAACCAGGTAACAAATCACTGGACGCTGATCTTTAAGGGAAATATTTAATGAAAAGTAACTCAAGTTCCATTTTTCTTTGAAGGGCAGAAGAGGAGTTTGCAGGGGCCCAGGCTTCCAAATGCCACCTTATCCAGGAGAAACAACTGCTGCCAAGCACCCAAGCACTGGCCCCGACACTTGGCTCTTTCTTGTAGCCTGATCACTACAGGAGAAACATTACCAGCTAAGCTTTCCCTGTCCCTTGCTACAATAAAATTATGTCCTCAAAGGCTCTCAGTGCTCCTTGGAAGAATCCTGACATCAGAAACAAAACTGGAGTGCACCAGTGTTGATCCTCCAGTCTTACCATCTCTCCATGTAGATCTTCCAACCAAACATGGCAGAAAAATGGCACACAGGGAAGAAATTAGCACTCAGAAGCATCCCTGTCAATCCCTGCACTTCTTTCTATCCCCTAAAATTAACTTGAAATTGATACTTTATAAAATTCTCACTGACATCTGAAAACAGTTATATGCTAATAAAATACAGGGGAAAAGAAGTTTTAGAGTATTAAAGAAAATAATTTTAATCCATGCTTAACAGGTGATATTTCAAGTTATAGCTGGTGGTAGTATTTCTGACAGACTAATGCTAAGCTGTATTAGTAATAGGCACATTTGGGTTTTTTTAAATGCCCTATTTCATGAAAAGAAGATGATTGAGAAAAAAAATGCAAGGTGAATGCAAGCAATCACAAGAGGCCATTCATCATTCTGCCCACATTTTTTTATGAATATATTCACAGAACTGCAACTGTGCTCATTCCACAAGTAGCTCAGGGCAGAGGGATTAAATCAAGACAACCTTTATAATTGTTATCCTGCTGTCAGTCAGCCTTTTTTATCCGTCAGCATATGGAGACAATATAATTTCCATTAATATTGCCACTCAGTTAGTGTCATTGGACTGAAATGATGACATTAAGTGGATTCTGTAAAAAAAAAAAAAAACGGGGAAAAAAAAAAGATTACGTAAATCTGAAAAGTTAAAACAGTTAATTGGTTTACTGGCTGTTTCTCAAACACCCATAGCAAGCAACATTGGCTCCACTTATGTACCAGTAATTAAAAAGCTAATTACAATTTTATTTCACAAAGTGAGGAACCCTAAGAACAAAGTAATGAGAAATGCAGCTTGCTGAAGTAAGAATAGTAACACTGTAGTCATCAAGAGATCCCTGCAGCACCATCACCTTGGGAAGGTTTCCACGCAGACTTGTCACAAGAGTAATGAGCTAATTAGAAAGCTGTAAGATACCTCCTTCCCCTTTCACTATCTGAGATCCCAGATATGATGCCAGATTTAAATGGAAAACTAACACTATTACTGTACTTACTTTGATGAAACCTTTTCTGGGCTACGTTCATGAGATAAATGACTTTGGGCCAAAATGTTTTAAATTAACCCCTACCTTAACTCCACAGGCTGTTTCATAGATGTCAACCTAAATAAACTTGCCCTTTCATTTGAAACCACTGCTGAAAATGCTGAGCAACCTAGAATTGTATAGAAATACAAGTAACAGATTCATCTAAATCCTAGTGTTTCAAGTACAAGAAGAATTATACTTTGCAGAACTGTTTCAATATATGCCCAGCATCTGCTGAACAACATCACTGCTGTCTGCTAATGCCATCACCTTCCTCCTGGCCATAAAGCTCATCAGAATGCTCGAGCAAGCAAAAACCACTCTTGGGTGAGCCAGTACCAGCGCTGTTTGGGCTAGGCTGAGAAACAAGAGGGTCCTGTGCTACAAAGGGTGATGCTATTATTCAGTACAGTGCAGAAGGGGCATTTACACTGATGTCACAGAGCGTGAAATGCAGAAGGGGTGAGTTGGTGGGTGTGGTACACATGCACAATGGCACAAACTGCAGAGTAACTCAGGGTTACTAATACACAGCCCTTTGGAAAAGGAACCCTTGACAGCTTTTGAAAATAGCTGCCAGGCTACTTGGGAAAGAAAGGAGATTCACAGAACAGTCTTTTTCTGTACCAAAGAAGGAATGAATTCCAAAAATATTTCAAAGGGAAGAGGAAAGAAACAGCCCAGAAATGCAAAGCAGAAAACACTGACCAAGCAACACGGCCAGGTCTGTGTTTGATAGGGAGCAGGAAAGGACTGTTCTCACTTCGGCAGGCACTCGGACCATGCCATGGAAGGATGGCAAAGCTGGAGGACATCGCTGGAATGCACTGCCTCAGGAACACTCAGCATTGCTGCTGGCAGCACTGTTAAACTTGATCAAAATGTATTCTGAAAGTTGCCATGAGAGAGAAGGTGTGGGAATAAGTCACCCTTCATGGGCTATTTCTATTCACACTGAACAGCCTGTCTCATGAAAACACACATTTAATAATCCACTTTTAGTCTTTTATTCACACATTTATTTAATCAGCTGCAGCACAGCTAGCAATGTCACCAATACCCACTCAAACATATAGAGACCATACACAAGAATTGCTTCAAGCAGCAGATAGTGCTAGTAGCGTTGATTATGCCAGTTGTGAGCTACAGGCTGGCACATAAAAAAGTAAGAATTAATCTTGTACTAGTTCTGGAAGCAAAACTCTTTCCTCCCAAGTGCTTTTTATGGAGGGAAAAAAAAAAAAAAACCAAAACTAACAGAAAGGCAGTTTAAGATTTTTAGGTTTTTTTTTTTTTTTTTTTTTTTTAATGAAGTATTGCTGAAAATCATTAGTTGACCAATGACAGCATTTTCTAGTTGCAATTTAAAAATTGTTCAGGGCTCCATCCAACCTGATCTTGAACACTGCCAGGGATGGGGCATTCACAGCTTCTCTGGGCACTCTGTTATAGGCCTCACAGTAAAGAATTTTTCTTTATATCTAATCTAAACCCTCTCTGTCAGTTTGAAGCCATTGTCCTTTGTCCTGCCACTCCAGGCCCTTGTCAATAGTCCCTCCCCATCTTTCTTTCAGGTTCCCCTCAGGCCCTGGAAGGCCATGATAGATCTACATACAAAAATCTGTACATTCCATAAATCAGCATCAGTTGAATTTTAGTCCACTGATGTGCTATTCAGTTTGGGACACCTCAGGTTTCACTGTGGATTAGAAGCTTATGTTTTCTCATACAAATTCCCAATGGAGTCATGCAAGAAATTAATTTAGTGACATTACATTTGGAGAAATTAATGCTCAGTGACACAAAGAGCAGGAACTGACAAACTGGTATTTTGCCCTGCTTACCTCCAACAGGGATTTCTAAATCAGCCCATCCTCTGTCACCCCTGCTGTAACTCTTGAGCACAATGAGGAGGACTATGATTCTTATTTCAGCTTTTGCTCTGATTTCTCTGTATTTTGAGACTAGTTTCAAACATTTACTTCTTATATTAACAATAATTTTATAGGTAGTTATAGAGATTACAATTTCTTGGAAAGTAGCAAATTGAGCTATGATCCCAAACCTTCTCCATCTCTTCAGGAAAAACTAGATTCATTACTGATGAAGGTGAATCTTCACCCTAAAATGTAAAAGGGAAAGAAAAGGAAAAACAGTCACAGGCACTCTCAAAGTTGGCAAGATTTCAGCTTTCAAGAAAAAGAAAAGCTTTTTGAAATTTGTCTACTACATTAAAATAAACCCTGATATAAATTAAGACAGTATTTGAAAAGCACTTAATAGGATACTGATTCTTTGACAAACACTTATTGTCAGATTGTGAAAGCAGACTGTGATTACTTTCTTTTTTTTTTTTTTTTACACATAATTACAAAATGTTCTCAGTTAAGTGATGAGTCAATTAAATGTATCCCCTTTACTGCAGGATTCTGTGCATGCAGCACATGTACAGCAAACAAAAAGGCAAGACCTACTGCACATTTTTCTTATGAAGCTGCCACTATCTGGTTCATCCTTGCACTACTCTTCCCAAAAGGATTAGTGCAACTGTACAGTGCTCAGTCCATCATCATCCACCGAATTCAGTTTTACTACACTTAACCCTAACAGGAGTTCTGATGTTGGTGTAAACACCAAATAGTACAGACAGCATATTTTAAAACTGTGGGCAGTTTCCAAGAGATACTCACCTTTAGCTCACCAAATGAGTCTGGCTGAAGATTAGATTTCCATGGTAAATGGGAATATGAGGTATTCCCATGCTCATTTTCTTTCTTCAGTACTTGTAAGAGCGAACCAGCTGTGCTCACTCACTGGAGGAGAAACATGTGAAAGGCTGTACCCAGCCTACACAAAAAGAGGGTAAGACTATACCACCCTACATTATTTAGGGAACTAGATGAGACTCCTGACTAGAGGACTTACCTGTATCACTCCTAGGAGCCACCCCAACAAGGATGAAGAGTACGAGCATTAGAACAGCAAACAAGCATGAACCAGAAACAGTTGCTGGTTTTGAAGGGGAACTGCTAAACTTCAAATTTCAAAATAAAGGACTCCCAGAAATCCAGCTAAGGCCAAAAAATGTATAACACAGCATGACCTGCTACATGATGGAAGCCACAGAATTTTAATGAATGATTGCTGCTAGGAATCCTACATTTTGTAATGGCCTACAGCATTTATGCAAATGGAAAAGCTGCAGTTAGAGCTGTAAGTATGTGTGACAGATTTTTGCTTGCAGACAATCAAGGCTGATGGAGGCAGTAACAGTCCACCTGCATGAAGCACAAGAAACCTGTCAGAACACGGGTACCGCTATTCGTGCCTCAGAGCTGGGCCCAGGCTTGCCAAACACAGCCTTGTAATGTCAAGTGCTGACTAAGCCAAGAAGCAGGAGCCACTATGACAAGGAACAGAAGAAACTGCTGCTCACCACAATGAGAAATTCCCACTCTCCATTTCCTCCAGAAAAGAAACATTTCTGCTGAAAGGCTTCCTGTTTGGTATCCCAGCATGTGAAACAATGAGGAAAGAAAGCAAGCAGGGTGTTTCTGGTGAAATCAGAGCTGTGTTTGTCACGTTACTGAGTGCTGGGCAGAGCTGTTCTGGTCAAACATCATAACTGCTCTGCATGTTTTCTACATCCTTGACTCTGAAAGACACATAAGCATCTGCAAAATGTTTGAAATATGTGTCTAATTACAAGACATGGTTTACATCTGAAAGTGGACTGTGTAAGACTAATTCTAACCCAAAATAATCCAGTACACTTCCAGTATGATCATGTTATGAAGTCCAACCACAAGGTTGGTAGACTATAGTTCTGAACATTTGGCCTAGGGTTTTTCTTCCTCCAGAAAATCCAGGAAAATGAGCAGGTAAAGATTTAACATCAACAAAAATCCCCAAACTTATGGGGTGGTTTCATCACTATCTTTTAAGACAAATTGTAGTGCAGACCTTCAGATACAGAGGGTGGATGATGGGGATGGGGGTGGGCAGGATAGAACACAGATAACACAATATGAACTCTCATATCCTCATATCTACTTCAGTGTGACTTAACTTCTCTTAATAGTCTTGTGCGTCTGTGTAACATTTTTAGCAATTGCTGAGTACCTGGTTGCAGGGTCTAAAGAATAAACCTAAAACTACACATTAAGTTTCAATATATAGGTGCTTAGAATGGAATTCTGAAAACAATTGTGCTATACACTGAAATCCGGTAGTTCATTATCTTCAGTGCTTTCACCCCATCCTGAACTGACACAATGCTAAACAGACCCAATTAGTTCAATTAAAAAAGGCAACACGCAGTCTAGCAAAGTCATTGATTAAATATTTATTCTTTGAAACAACGCTGAAAATACAAGATTAAAAAGTGTTCCATGCATTTCATAAAATACGGAGAAAGACACTTCATAAACAAAACAGAATAAGCAAGCCAAACACCCTCTGAAAATCCCAGGAGCTCCACTCTCCAGATTGGACCATATTAATACAAAAAGCATATCCAGGAGAAAGAGCAGCCTGAGGAAGTGGTAGGTTATCTATCAATAAC